GGAATATACGGAGACGTACACACAGGTCAGTAGTTGGCCTGTCTATATTTTAGTGCAAACGAGAGTCGATATTTATAAGAGCTGTATCGCTAATGTGTTACCAGGAATACATGGCCCTTATATCGTCTCTATTTCTGGTCATATACTCGATGTGTTAAGGTTATGATGTCCGATACACGTTGTCAAAATCCTGTCAAAATGGCTTTTCGTAGTATCTTTATCAACATCCGATGTCGGACACCCATATAAATCACAAAGTCAAGTCAAAGTCAAAGATGATTTATTCCATAGGTAAAATAAATTTACACTTGAAAACGTCACATTTAAGGTACTGCTCGTTCACTACGCTGACCTCCCTGAGAAGAACGAGCAAGAAACTCTAGGGATTGCTCTTTTCAAATAAACTTAAATGCTATGGAATACATTTTGAATCAAATTTGTGTGGATTCAGGAGCCATGTCGTCTTTCCATACATCTTTATCTAACACGTAGTCTTCAATTTTGTAATATGATTTGTCGATCAAAATATTTTTAATGTAGTTTTTAAACTTAGGAAATGATAAACTTAATATATGCTCCGGAATCTTATTGTAAAAACGTATACAGTTCCCCATAAAAGAGTTGTTTACCTTGGTTAAACGAAATCGTGGTACCATGAGTTTGGACTTAGCTCTAAGGTTAATATTATGGATATCTTCTTTCTTATTGAAATTATGTATATTTTTACGGGCATATAAAATATTTGAGTAAATGTACTGCGATGCCACAGTCATGATACCAGTCTCCTTAAACTTTTCTCTGAGAGATACCCGAGAGCCTAGACGGTACACAGAACGAATCGCTCGTTTTTGCAATACAAATATGGTTTGAATATCTGCCGCTTTACCCCACATGAGAATCCCATAGGACATTATACTATGGAAGTAACTAAAGTAAACTAGTCTAGCAGTACTAACATCGGTAAGCTCACGTATTCTGCGGACTGCGTATGCTGCGGAGCTTAATCTGCTGGCCAGGGACGATATATGTGGAAACCACTGAAGTTTACTATCTAAGGTCACTCCCAAGAAGACTGCTTTATTAACAAGGTCTAACGCGTTTCATTCCGCAATCGTTCCACAATCGGGCACATAACGCGTTTCATAGTAAGAAATTATTAAAACGAAGGACGTACGCAGCCATGTGTATCGGATTTTACTTTTGGCAGTAGACGCACAGGTAACACAACTCAATTGTAGCGTATATCGCGTACAGAGAATTTCCTACGATTCCTGCACTAGGCAAAGCCTGTCTCGCAGGTAATCGATAAAAACATTGTTACTGTTGAAAGAATTACGCCCAAGCAAAGAGAATTTTGTTAAAAATTGTTTTCGAAAAATTGTACATAATGATCAAACGTTATTATTATTATATATTAAATTATTTTATTTTAGTTTACCATAATTCATTCTATTTTTAATTTAATACCAATTGGTTAACTTTATAAAGGATGAGTGTGTGTGTTTATATAATGTTTCATAAGGTTTACATGATTGCCGATTTTACGACGGACTCGTTCTTTCTCTTCGAGAAATTTAAAGGGAATGGGAGGGGAGCAAATCGGGGTGGAAAAGAGTGGGTAAAGCTGTTTTAAAAGACACACGTAAAGTTCACACCTTAAACCCAGGTAGAGCACAATTTAGTGAACATAAAAAATTATGAAGGACTCGACATCAGAGACCATCCTCACTGCTTGAATGGTACGGACGAAAAAGGCTACAGACTTGCCATACACTAACAACCAACGGTATTAGCACAAAATGGATCTGAACTTGCAGAAAAACTTACTGTGGCTGTTTGTGTGAATGCACTAGGTAGGTAGTCTTATCTCCCAAATGATTATATTTTAAGAAAATGCTTATACAGCCGAATTGAGAACTTCCTCCTTTTTGAAGTCAGTTATAAACAAGTGTAAAATCGCCTTTTCAACACTTTTACTAGTGACGGTACGAACAAGCTGTGCGCCTGGTGGTAAGCGGTACGCAAAGATCTTAGCGGCACTGCCAATGCGCCCGTTACTATGATACACAAGTTAACAAGTCCTATGTGCCTATAACTTCACCAGCGCCCTCTTCAAAGTCGGAACGCAATAATGCACATATTACAAAAGGCAAAGCAATGGAATACTCCACCGACAATTCTATATCTGTGTTTCCCGAAAAGTACAATTTGGGGCTATTCAAGGGTAGAGTGAATAGGCATTTTTAGGCAAAAACGCGTACCTTCGTCGGTCACATCGTCGCTTAACATCAGGTGAGATTGTGGCCAAGCGTGTGTTGGTTATTTATAAAAAATAATGTCAAGTGACGGAACAAACAAGTGCCAGCGGTGTTAAGCGAAGGAGCACTGCCACTGCGTCTGTCACCCTGAGACATAAGTTGACAAGACTCGTGTCTGTCATTCGAGCAATGTTTACTGCTTGGCGACAGAAATAGGTAAGGTGACAATACTTCCCTGGACGAATTCTTTCACAAAATGATACCACACCACGGCTATTCGTATCTATTTCCATTGCAATAAGTTTCAGATTGTAAAAATACTGTGCTTTCTAAAGTTTCCTTGACTCTTATCGATCAAATATCTTTGTTCGTTCATTTTATGACCATGCTTACTGTAGTCGTTATATTAGAAATAACATTTTATCAATGAATTATTTATGATTGGGGGAAAACCTGCTGCCAGGCTTGCAAACACATATTATAGGCACTGCCACCGCGTTCATCACCCTGAGACGTAACTAGACAAGCCCTACGTGCCTGTGATTACGTTTCTGGACGAACTCTTGCACAAGGAGCTCTTATTAAAAAGGTTAAATCGTTATTGTATTCACAAATCGATGGCTTTCTAGAATAGTGACCTATCTCAAAAACATACATTTCATCAGAAAGATGATTTAAAAAAAACAGAAACGTGTCTGCCACTCAAAACTGACATATTGCAGACCGTGTCAACGGTATCGTGTTATTATATTAACCTTATAGGATGGAAAAAAATAAATTTTAACCGTTGAACAGCCCTGCATCCTATTCACAATCAAATTTAGCATTTTCTAAACAAATCTTAGTAATAAGTAAAAAAAATAATGTTAAAACCCCTTGTACTTATTTAACTTAACCGAGTGCCATAAACGTAAGTTACTGGACATAATATACTAGGTTTCTGCGATACAAGTATATATACTTAGTGCAAGAACCGCGACAAATCATTGGTAGATAAGAGTTATGTAACAAAGTTAAATGGTGTAAATGCAAATTAATGTAGTCCTATTTGGTCAATAAAGCTTTATTATTATTATCTATTTTAGACTCTCGCCTCTCCCAAGGCCTAAAAGATTATTATTATTATAAATTAATTTTGGTTTTGGCCAATATTCTTAACAAGCAGCGAAATCTAAACTGTAGCTACAACCAGTCAACCGTGACAAAAATTGGTTTAGGTATTCGAAAAAACAAATACTTACACGAAATTTAGATCCGAAATAATTATTACTTTTTATAATATTTATTAACTGCCTCCGTGGCCGAACGGTTACCATGCCGGACTGCCACGCAGAGGTCCTAGGTTCGATTCCCGGGCCGGGAGAAATAGTTGTATGGCCTACAATTATTTCTCTCGTGAGTTTGGGTGTAATTTGTGGTTGTCTATGTGTGTGTCCATGGCACCCGCGACACAGGGTTTCCCTAGTGCGGGGCTATGTTGAGTGTGTGCGTTATTTATTTATTTATTATTAGGTAGCAGTAGAGCTCCTTGTGAAAGAGTTCGTCCAGGGAAGTACTTCCACCTTACCTATTTCTGCCGCCAAGCAATAATGTGAGCATTACTGCGTTCCGGTTTGGGTGGGTAAAGATTCTGGTAAAATTACAGGCACATGACACTTGTCAACTTATGTCTCAGGGTGACGGGCGCAGTGACAGTGCCCTTAAGATTTTTGTGATTTAAAACTCTGAGTGGCATTGCAACTGTTATGGATAGACGTGTCGCTTACCACCAGGTGCATGGCTTGTTCGCCCCGTCACTTATAGTAATATTAAAAAAGAACTGACGTCAAAAGTTCGTGGAATATATTTCATCTTTTTGCTTTTATTGAAAGTGCGCGAAACCGGATTCATCCCCTAGTTTACCAAGCTTAGAGGTGGAATGCTTTCATCAAATTTAAATGGGACCAATACTGAGGCACCCTCTTTCTAACAAAAAAATAATCATCAAAATCGGTTCACAAAAGCTGGAGTAATCACATACACACAAAAAGAACAGTCGAATTGAGAATCTCCTTCTTTTTTAAAGTCGGCTAAAAATAGTTTTATTTTCCATGTGTATTTACAATGATTCATTCGTCAAAAAGCTATTAAGGAAGTAGTAAGGTTATTCAATCTGAGTCCCCTTTGTTGTAGAATAATACAGACTGGGAGAGGTTGCTACAGGTTTTTTTATGACAAATAATACCAACGCTCTGAAAGGGTTGTAACCCTAACTAGCCGTGAACAGGTTCACGGCAATGAAATGGGAAATTTTCGGTCCACAAAATTTATTAAAGAAGTAAAGTTTAAAGAAAGCCTGTAACAATATAAAGGTAAATGTAAAAAAACAGGTATAACAGTATAAAACACTTATTATTAAGGCACTTAACCCTAAATGGGCCGAGAAACTGAATTACAGAAATAGACACATGAAGGGTTACACTTATAAATTGTTAAACATGATTAGCATATTAACAGCTCCGACTGTTCTGGCGGTCGAGCTGGGAGTGACCGTGGTACGAAAACAAAATGAGAAAATGAAGGAAGATGGAACAATTCAAATTTAAAATTTAAATACATGTAAAATAAAAAATGATAGGATACAAGCGGAGATAGGCGATACAAAGAGGTGAGACGACGGTTTAAGAAGATCACACCGTCACAGCACTAAATACGCCAACGTCCTTTAGTTATACTTAAATTTTAAATTTAATTCTATGTCACGATAAGGCTGTCGATACCTGTTGACACAAAAATCTTTATCAGAATTTTATTGTAGCAGTAGAGCTGCTTATGGAAGAATTCGTCCAGGGAAGTACTGCCACCTTACCTATTTCTGTCGCCAAGCAGTAATGTGGGCATTGCTGCTTTCCGGTTTGGAAGGGTAAGGGTGCTGGTGATGTAGCAGTTACTTGGGACTTGTCAACTTATGTCTCAGGTTGACGGGCGCGGTGGCCTCTAAGATCTTTGCGATTTAAAGCTCGAAGTGGCACTGCAAATGTTGTGGATAGGCATGTCGATGCCACCCGTCGGCGTATATGGCTTACCGTATATTTAATATAAAGGTACCTACCTCGTCTCTCCTTCGGGACGTACTGTATACGTATACTAGTCCATCCTGTCATTTGGTATTATAAAATAAAATAATAGTCAGATTGATTGTTTTCATGCAGATTGATTATTTTGTTAATAAATATCACAAAATCGTTGAAAAAACATTTTATTGTGTAAGGGCAGAATAGTGGCTCTGTCCTTACAGGATGTTATCTCGTGATGACGCCGCGGTAACCGTTAACAAGAGGGTGTTTTCGGAGTAGTTGATGTAATTAATAAATACTAAAAAGTGTAAAAGTAATGTGACTTAATTCTAAATAAAAATGTAAAATAGATAGATAGATGGATAATACACTTTATTTTTACACATATAAATATATATAAATTAGTTATATATATATATATATATATATATATATATATACATTTCTTCGATCCGGTCGGATTTTTCTGAGTGTTCGATCTTTGTATTAATAATTATAACAAACTAGTAAAATAATTTCACAAAAAAAAAATTGAATATCAATTCAATAAAAATTTAATGAATACAGTGAATAGCGACGTCTCTCGCCAGGACTGGTAGCTGTAAAGATACTAACTGGGTGATAAATAATTCATAGATTTCTCATAGATGGCGCTACGACTAAAAAGTCGTTGAAAAACCAAATACAAAGACACGACGCAAGCACATAGAAAAATTCGTGAGGTCCGTTGGTTCGTTCCGTGGCTTAGTTGGTATAGCGTCTGCCACGGTATGCAAGAAGACGTCGGTTCGAATCCGACCGGATCGAAGGAATTTTTTCTGAGTGTTCGATCTTTGTATTAATAATTATAACAAATTAGTGGAATAACTTCACAAAAAAAAATTTAATATCATTTCAATAAAAATTTCATTATACAGACTAAGTTGCAGACTAAGATCGAGCCAGAAGATACTTACGCAATCCAGTTTTAAATATAGGAAGCGATTTAGAATGTCGGATTTCAGCCAGGAATTCGTTCCATAATAGTGCAGCCTTAACAGTAAAGGAATCTTTTTAAATACTCTGAGTCGGTGAAAGGAGGTTTCAGCAGGTTATCCATTTCAGATCTCAGTTCACGGTTGTGATCCGCACCGTGGAAGCAAAAACGATACTTAAGGTACGAAGGAGTGCGAGGGTCATAGAGCACGTTATAGGAAAAGGTGAGAACGTGCTCCTCACGTCGTAGCTTTATAGGGAGCCACTGAACCCTTCTCCTATATTCGGACACGTGGTCGAACTTGCGCAATAAAATGAAGTATTGTAAATCTTTTTAAATATATTAATGTTAATGATGTTTATCGTTTTGGTGTTGATAACTATCTTAAAAATACAATAAAATGTCATAATACGATAAATCGTGTGACGTGGTAAACCACGTCAGCTAAATAACTAGAACTATCATACTACAGCAAAATAAAACTAGAACTAGATCATGTCGATGCAGCAAATCAAAGTTCAATGTTGTACGTAACCGTATTATACTACGATACCAAAAAAATTAAATAGTTTTTCATGTAGACAGATTCGGTAGGAGTTTAAATTTTTCACGTTTTTTTTGTACTTTCACAACCTGCATCGGCAACAACCCTACTACGAACGCACGTAAGGATGGAGTTTTCCTGGATTTCTGGTCGTTGTTGGAGAAACAAAATTAAAAAGTTTCTCCGTACATTCTCCGAAATATAGCCGATATAAAACCGACAAGCAAGCCACTTTTCTGCAGTGATTTAATTTAGAAAATATCGGCTTTTACATTTACGTACCTATATTTATGAGACATTTTCATCATACCGATTGATTTAGCCGGGAGTAAAGTAAAGTAACTGAACCACCGACATCGTCAGTAATAACGTACACACTCAACATAACTGTTATATAATTTATTTATTTTATTGTAAACCCTGTGTTCCGGACCTTCTAGTTGACCGAAGGATGAACGGTGAGGATGGAACTACATTGAAAAGTTCCACAAGCAAGCTACTTTTCTGCGACGTTCGAGATTTTGTATCTTCGAATCCGCAAGAAAATTGTTGTTAATAAGTCTCTTTGCTTTGCGCTCCACCGAGTTAAAGGCAGCCCAGGAGTTACCCAAATAGTACACTGCTACATCGACCGCTCGCACAGTGAAGATCAACCAAGCTGTTCTAACATCTGAGCGAGACGTCTGATGAGGCTCAACTCAGGTATCCAGCGGCGCAACTAGTCATTCTGGGGGACTTTAGTGCACACTTTCAAGAATGGTTGTTCCCATACCAGATGACCGATCATGCTGGGAGAGAGATGCGAAAACTTGCGTTAAGGCTAAGCCTCTCCCAGCTTGTCAGTGACGCCACCAGGATCCCAGATGTTGAGTCTCATACGACTAACTGGACCTTCTGTTAACAACTGATCCAGACCGATACTCGGTGGTTGTGGATGCACCATTGGGTAGGTACCTCTGACCACTGTCTGGTGAAAGCTGTATCCGTATATGCTCCCCACGAGGTCGGCCGATTGAACTTGTGAAGAGTGGACGCGTGTCTGATTTTTAGTCAAATTTGTTTGAAAATTGTGCATATTAATTCGGTATTGGTGGATCCGTGAAAGTCGGTGCCTCCTGTTTCTTCGTGTGACGGTCTTACGGCTGTCTCCTCCTAGTGGGCGGCGGAAGCGAGAGGAATATACTTGTTGGGAGGAATATACTTGTTGGCCTTTATGAGGTGGAGCCCTTTCACAAGTGAGTGTAATTTTATTTTATCACTCGGGTCTCGAACTCGCGGCCTCCGGATTGCAAGTCCGCATCGTCGACCATTCGACCAACGGGACGGTGATGCAGAGCGGGAAAAATACAGCTCTACTTTTGGATTTATGTCGGCCACCTGTCGAAAAGCTGTAGAACTAAGTGAGCAGCCGCTGTACTGGAATAAACAAGCAGAGTTCTTACTCCGCCATCTATCGATCTGCTCTGGAACTAAGTGAACCATTGGTCGTAAATCATTGAATGCTTCTGTCTGCTGCCGGGAACATGCGAGAGATGGAGCGCACAGTCCAATGTGGTGGATGCAGGATTGCAATTGAAACTCGTCAGTACCTTATTTGCTGTATATGTACTAAGCATTACGACCTTATATACGCTAATGTTAGTGAGCAAAGATTTCATAACACTCTCACCGCAGAGCACAGGGCACGATGGAAGTGCCAGGAATGCAGGAGGAAAGAACCAAAGACAGACAATTCGGATACGCCAGTGCGCGGTGCTCAACAAGGTGGACTCTCCGACTCATCAGACAAAGCTGGAGGGGATTTAGGCATCGAGAATGTCACTTTTCGCAACCAACGATTAGACCTAAACTCGCGACCACAGTCGCCTATGTTTTCTTTCGAGGAGTTTTCGGAGGAGTTAAAACAGTTCCGTGATGAAATGCGTGCTGTTCGTAGAGATATGAGTGAATTCAGGTCAGTTATGTCGGACCTGAAAGCATCCATTAAGAGTTGCAATGAGCGTATCGACGGTCTTTCGGATCGTGTGGAAAGGCTGGAGAAGAAGCGGAATGATGGTGAAAATGTAGAATCTCTTGAGAACACAATTGCTGAGCTCAAAATGGATTTAAATGAACGTGATCAGGAGACACTGTCGAATGATGTAGAAATTGTAGGAATCTCAGAAACTAAAAATGAAGGGCCCGTTCATATAATGCTTACTGTCGCAAACAAATTAGGAATTAACATAGAGGAACGGGACATTGTAAGCGTAAGTCGGGTGGGCATAGAGAGACCTCCGGTAGAAGGCGTACCAGTCGCACGCCCCCGGCCTCTCGTTGTGCGCTTCGCACGGCGCTCACTACGCGATCAACAGGCGCCTTTTTTATTTGACACGCCAAGCGTCAACAAGAGCTAAATGGAAATACGTTTGGACTCGTGAGGGAAAAATCTATGTGCGGCGGGAACACGGAGCGCCGAGGATCCGTATTCGATCTGAGCTGGACTTAAAACGAGTTTTTGAAAATAAAAATGTTGGTTCACCTACGCACATATAATACACACTATAATAAGTTAATTACTGGATTTTTTAATAAGCGTTGCGTTTTTATTTTTTGTTATTGCTTTTGAATGTTTTGTTACTTAATTTTATCAATTTTATTGCTATTGCACACTATGACTACTTACACTGTACAAAAATATTTAGTTTGGATATAATGTTTGTAAAATCTATGGCTTATACTGTACAAATATTTCTCAATATTCATAGAGCGAATATCACATACAAAAAAGTTCGTCCCCCTTTTTTAATATTGATAACTTACTATCACCCTAATAATTTTTATTTGTTTTTGACTACTTTGTGGGATGACTGATAAATTACTAAAAGTAGGATTATTCAATCCAGGCTCTTTAGGGACGAACCACGATGAGCTTATTGTTGCTACTATTGAGCGATCAGTTGACATTTTAGCAATAAATGAAACTTGATTGCGCACTAACGAAGAGGCTAAAGCTCCTAATATTACAGGATATAATTTTAGAAGCCCTAGGGCTTCCAGCATTTGTGGAGGACGTGGCGGTAGCGTGGGATTTTTCGTAAAGAAAGGCTTATATGCACGAACTTGTGCGCACGCTTCTCATCATCAGGTAGAACAAATGTGGCTTAAACTTAACATAAATAACTGTAGCATACCGTCCACCGT